ATAAGTGATATGATATGGCCATCATCATCTTGTGCTTGTGATCTCCATCTTCGAAGCACCGTCATGATCACCATCATCACCGGCGCGACACCTTGATCACCATCGTAGCATCGTTGTCGTCTCGCCAATCTTATACTTCCACGACTATCGCTACCGTTTAGTGATAAAGTAAAGCATTACAGCGCAATTCCATTGCATACAATAAAGCGACAACCATATGGCTCCTGCCAGTTGCCGATAACTTGGTTACAAAACATGATCATCTCATACAATAAAATTTAGCATCATGTCTTGACCATATCACATCATAACATGCCCAGCAAAAACAAGTTAGACATCCTCTACTTTGTTGTTGCAAGTTTTACGTGGCTGCTACGGGCTTAAGCAAGAACCAATCTTACCTACGCATAAAAACCACAACGATAGTTTGTTAAGTTGGTGTTGTTTTAACCTTCGCAAGGACCGGGCGTAGTCACACTTGGTTCAACTAAAGTTGGAGAAACTGACACCCGCTAGCCACCTTTGTGCAAAGCACATCGGGAGAACCGGTCTCGTGTAAGCGTACGCGTAATGTCGGTCCGGGCCGCTTTGTCCAACAATACCGCCGAACCAAAGTATGACATGTTGGTAAGCAGTATGACTTATATCGCCCACAACTCACTTGTGTTCTACTCGTGCATATAACATCAACTCATATAACCTAGGCTCGGATGCCACTGTTGGGGAACGTAGTAATTTCAAAAAAAATTCCTACGCACACACAAGATCATGGTGATGCATAGCAACGAGAGGGGAGAGTGTGATCTACGTACCCTTGTAGACCGACAGCGTAAGCATTATGACACCGCGGTTGATGTAGTCGTACGTCTTCACGGCCCGACCGATCAAGCACCGAAACTACGGCACCTCTGAGTTTTAGCACACGTTCAGCTCGATGACGATCCCCGGATTCCGATCCAGCAAATTGTCGGGGAAGAGTTCCGTCAGCACGACGGCATGGTGACGATCTTGATGTTCAACTGTCGCAGGGCTTCGCCTAAGCACCACTACAATATTATCGAGGTATATCGTGGAAGGGGGCACCGCACACGGCTAAGAATATGTTCACGAGGATCAACTTGTCTGTCTAGGGGTGCCCCCTCCCCCCGTATATAAAGGAGCAAGGGGAGGAGGCCGGCCGGCCCTATTGGCGCGCCAAGGAGGAGTCCTCCTCCTAGTAGGAGTAGGACTCCTACTAGGAGGGGGAAAGGAAGTGGGGAGGGAGAAGGAAAGGGGGGTGCCGCCCCCCCCTCTCCTAGTCCAATTCGGACCAAGGGGGGAGGAGGCACGCGGCCCACCCTGGCTGCCCTTCTCTCTCTCCACTAAGGCCCATATGGCCCATTACTTCTCCCGGGGGGTTCCGGTAACCCTCCGGCACTCCGGTTTTCTCCGAAATCACCCGGAACACTTCCGGGGTCCGAATATAGCCGTCCAATATATCAATCTTTATGTCTCGACCATTTCGAGACTCCTCGTTATGTCCGTGATCACATCCGGGACTCCGAACTAACTTCGGTACATCAAAAACTCATAAACTCATATAACTGTCATCGAAACCTTAAGCGTGCGGACCCTACGGGTTCGAGAACAATGTAGACATGACCGAGACATGTCTTCGGTCAATAACCAATAGCGGAACCTGGATGCTCATATTGGCTCCCACATATTCTACAAAGATCTTTATTGGTCAGACCGCATAACAACATATGTTGTTCCCTTTGTCATCGGTATGTTACTTGCCCGAGATTCGATCGTCGGTATCTCAATACCTAGTTCAATCTCATTACTGGCAAGTCTCTTTACTCGTTCCATAATACATCATCTCGCAACTAACTCATTAGTTGCAATGCTTGCAAGGCTTATGTGATGTGTATTACCGAGAGGGCCTAGAGATACCTCTCCGACAATCGGAGTGACAAATCCTAATCTCGAAATATGCCAACCTAACATTTACCTTTGGAGACACCTGTAGAGCTCCTTTATAATCACCCAGTTACGTTGTGACGTTTGGTAGCACACAAAGTGTTCCTCCGGCAAACGGGAGTTGCATAATCTCATAGTCATAGGAACATGTATAAGTCATGAAGAAAGCAATAGCAACATACTAAACGATCGGGTGCTAAGCTAATGGAATGGGTCATGTCAATCACATCATTCTCCTAATAATGTGATCCCGTTAATCGGATGACAAGACATGTCTATGGTTAGGAAACATAACCATCTTTGATTAACGAGCTAGTCAAGTAGAGGCATACTAGTGACGTTTAGTTTGTCTATGTATTCACACAAGTATTATGTTTCTGGATAATACAATTCTAGCATGAATAATAAACATTTATCATGATATAAGGAAATAAAATAATAACATTATTATTGCCTCTAGGGCATATTTCCTTCACCACCTTCACTCGGCGATGATTCCCAAAGCGATGCAAGTTCCTCCGCCCTCCACGACGGCGACGAACCAGTGATGGTCCTTCTCCTACCTTCCATACCCTGTTCCGAAGCTCTCCAATGGACAACGACGACCCGACGGTCCTCCTCCTCATTCGAGCCAGGTTAGCCCTCTCCCCCATCCCCACTACAGTCCATCATCACCAGTTCACCACCCACCTCGTCATGTTTCTGCAATTCGTGTCTCATGAGTTGTGGCTCCAGATGCACGAACGTTCACATCATCTCTTCCTCTTCTTACGAATTCTGCAAGTTATCTCCCTTTTCCCTTGGGGCCCAAACAACAACGGGGGTGTTCTCCCCTGGTGGCTCGGGATTCCAAGTGAGCAAGGAAAACCCCCCATGGGGTCTATTGCCTAGGGTTTACCATCGCCAACAATCAAATGAGCCCTTATGTGTGTTTTAATTCATGTACGTGTTGTGTAATGCAACATAACATGTGATATTCACACTCTACATTTCTTCTGTTACTAGTAAGATGCCCGTGCTACGCTACGGAATCACAAAATATTAGATGAGCTTAAGTCATAATCAAGCGCTACATTGTTATGGAATAATATGAAAAGTACCAATACATCCATCAAAGTGATGTTATATTGTTGATAGGTACACATCCAGCACAATCAAACATACTGTTTCCAACCAATAAACCCCATCCTTCCAGCCAAACATTTCCTTCTCAATCTTAACCTTACCGGAAGACTTGTTCTTCTCCCTACTCACCTTTCTCATTGCTCACTCTATGTTATACCGAAGGGACACAGAGCATGTGGCAGATAGAAAATCCATCTGCAACTAAGATGACACTGACCAGCTTTATCTCTAAATCCAAATCGGTCTATGTCACGGGCTTCTCTTAGCTTAGCATGTGCTTCACCTCATGCCCATGAATTTGTAACACATTAAGCACTTCACTTTAACCTACCTTAATATATATAATGGAAGAATAAAATGCAATGACAATATCGATGTTTGTTCCCATGAATTTGTGCAATGGAAGTGTAGCGACTACCGACTTCATCCTTCGACTCTAAAGTGCACATGTACACACATACAAAAAAAACAGTACTGGACCTGTTATATAGAAGGGGCAAAGTGCACATGTACACACATACAAAAAAATAGTACTGGACCTCTTGTAACTTTCTTACACCAACCAGGTTGTCGCAAAAAAACCGGGGTGTGACCTGAATATCATCGACGCTGAAGTGCTAAAGCAAGCAACTTACTTTTTTGAAAGTCATCTGCAAAAACTTCAGAATCATAGATGGAAAGCAACTTTTATATTACTGGCCTTAGTTAGATAGACCAGATTTTTTACTGCCACCAAATTATAGTTGAGTGGTTCATATATACCTTGGACTACACATTGAGAACTTCTTTGTATACTATGTTTTTTGTAAAATTAGCAACGAAGTTGAACTGGCCTTCTTTCGGCTTATTCGGGACAGAAAGAACCTTCTATCTGCCAATTAGGATAAAAATGAAACAGAGGGCTGCTGACTGCAGAATATAGTGGAGTGAAGATACCTTCGATAGTACCTTAAGTTGAGCCTTGCTAAAAGCCTAAAACAGATACTTGAGAATAAAATGAAAATATAAGCATAAAACAGGACAGAGGGAATGCTATAAGCTGAAAAATAAAAAAACCACTACAGAATGTAGAGGCCCTGGTTACTACCTTTAATGAAAGAACCATCCTATGGACGACACATCTTTGACGATGCGCACACGACGTCTAGATCCAGCGCGGGAATCTCGTACCCAGCCTAGCAACCAACCGCTTTATAAGAAGGTTGCCCATGATTTTTCGTCCGTGTAACAGTTTCGATAATGAAAACTGAACACCGACCTACTCTGAAGTATTTAACACAAAGAACACTGATAAAAACAAGACTGACAAAACTCATCGATTTGAAACCTCATTTGGTTCACAATACTGAAGACTGACAAACCAAAATGACTGAAGATATGGGTGTGTGTGTGTGTGTGGGAGATTAATGAAAAATCACAAGTAGCTCAAGAGTGTGTCCAGAAAAGACTGAATAATTGCTCATAAAAATGTATACTGAGATTCGGAATCCTAACGAATTAAGTACTGAGCCCTTTGCTCTCAATGCTTGTCCACTGCCTCACTCCCAGGCTAGCAGACCAGAACATCCAACACAATTAGGAGTTAACCCACACACACAATTACGTGTCTCGCCAACGGCACCCTCGTCCCCTGTTGCTTCCGCTGGGGCGCGTGCGATGGGGTCTCCCTGCTAACCTTGCCGCCATGCCCATCCCATCCATTGCTCCCTACCACCAGCTCGTCCACTCATGGTTGTGATTGACGAGAAACCAGTCCGAGCCTCCGAGGAGGCGAGGAGGCATATATTCGCGCCTTCCATCGGACTGGGAAGGAGAGGCAAAAGGAGAGCATAGTGCAGGTGTGGAGCTCCTGGGTGGCGCTTCAGTTGTAGAAGGCATAGAGGTCCTAGGGGAGCAGTGGATACTTGAAGGAGATGGTCGTGGAGTGCGTCGGCGCGAACGGAATAGTAGGTGGCGGCGCCGTCGCCGTCGCCGAGGATGAGCAGTGCGTAGCGGAGTACGTGGAGGTCGGCGAGGACGAAGGGGAGGTGGTGGGCAGCGGGGCTCCTGCATCAGAACCTCAGATGAGGAAGCATGAGAGTCCTCGCAGACTCGAAGGGCGGACAGCGCCGCGGCGTACTTGCCGACGTGGTCTTCGAAGGAGACGGAGTAGGGGGAGGAGGAGACGGCGGTGGGGAGGGAGAGGTGGCGGGCGGCGGGTCTGCTGCATCAGAGGAGTAGGCAAGACGACGCAGCGGACGAACAACGCCGGCGGCGTACTTGCCGATGTCGGCGTCGCGGGAGATGGGGTAGGGAGGACGGGGGGTGTGGAGGTGGATCTGGCAGCGGACGATAAGGCTGCGGTGGAAGAGAGGAGTTGGGGCGGACGGCGCCGGCGGCACCGGTCTCCGCTAGTTCGCTTCCATATTTCTTCAGAATGATCGATTGCTTCATTGGATATGGTGGGACTGGAGGGATCTGGACCATGAGAACGAGGGGTTTCCTTGCAAATGTGAAGTGGGGTGCCTCCTATGCGTCGGATGTAAATCAAACGGTCAAAAATAATGGATGGCAGACACACCATCACCACCAACTGTGTTTTTTATAGGAGTAGAGATAAAGATACAGTATGTTTCTGAAATTCTTGGAAAGAGAAGACCCAAAGTTGGTGACAAAAAGATGGACAGCGTGTTCACACTTGAATGCCAAAGAGAAAGAAAAAAAATTAAAAGGAGGATGACGAGGTGATATGGTGATGTCCTGGTGCATGGTGACGAAAGATAGGCAATGTCACCCAAAGCTAACACAGTTCATCGGAACGCACACACAAGATATGCCTCCGAAAACTGCATAGATAAAAATCACCTTAACCTAGCCTGATTATATACAGAGCAGCCAGCAAAATTCCTTGGCCGCTGCGCTGTCGCAGTGAACACCGGCTTGCTTTTCACTGGGGTCAGTACTCCGGGAAGATTCAGCGGTCACCGGAAGAGATTCCGAGTCATGCATGCGTTCGCTTCCATCGGGAGGTGGCAGTCATCGAGCGGTAGTGGGGGTGACACAAAGGGTGAGGTGAGGTGAGCCGTGGAGCATGAAACGTGCGCATGGCACCATCTATCTTCGTCGTCCTGCCTGTCTATTAGTGCAATCTTAAGCTATCTAATCACGCTAGTGCTGCGACGACTGCGAGGCAGAAAAGGCGCCATTTCCTCCCCTCCCCGGGATAAGAAAACTACCGCCACTAGACATCGTCGGGGAGGAAGGAGGCCATACGTAACCATGGGCCACCATGTATGGCTGGAGACGCCCACACTTGTTGCCGTGTCCTCAACTTCGGTAGCTGTCAAGCCAACATGAATCGTTGCCAATCAGTACACGGAGCAGCTAACCAAAACTGGCCGTCCGATTTGTTAACAAGAACCCTAACTTTTTCCCCGATGGATGCGTCAGCGGGCACATGTGTAGGTAGGCATAAACCACGGGCCAGCGGGGGTCAAAATATGCTGTCAAATCGCAACAATTTTTAAAATAAGACAGCGAGCATCGTTAGCATGTGATCGCTGTTTAGAACATTGCGCATACGCCAAGTCCTTGGCCTCTTGCCCCACATATGTAGTACGTACGTGCGCCGCATTCGGTCATGTGCGGCGGGTGAAATGAATTTGGTTGACGTGGCCTGCATGCATCCCGATGCGCGCCTACTTGCTGGACGAGCCTGCCTAGCTCCTATGGCGACACTAACGTACTGCCGCAACATGGCTGCTGACCTTTGCTTCGATCGACTGCCGACATCTTGCTTGCGTCGAGGAGCCAAATCTAAGCTTCAGTGTTTCCAGGGCCCTCCATCGGGCAGCTAGACTTCTCACGGATTTTGAGCGCTCCGTTTGTACTCTCGTTAGTAAATCTCTGCAACTTTTACATAATAGTATTTACAGCCGGTTCTTCAGCGAACCAACATGTGGTAGGATGATTAGAGGGAGTGTAGTATTCATAGCCCATTAGGGTTTAAATCCTGCTGCTCGCATTTATTCCTGGATTTATTGGTGTGCCTGTGTGCGTTCATAGATATGACTGTATGTGTGTGTATATGAGTGCTTGCGTTTGTATTGTGTTAAAAAATAGTACTTACAGCCGGACATTGCAAATCCGTCCCCTAAACATCCATGGACATGTCCGGTGAGTGACCATGCGTGTCTGTTTTTAGCTCTTATTTGTCCGTTCATTCAGTCATACTTCTCATTTTCTCCCTTATATGTCAAGTCACTTGCATATGATTAGAGAGATAAAGAAAGAGAAAGAAAAGAAATAATAAAGAAAAAGAAAAGATGGTCCAAGATGGGCCACGTCCTATATTTGGTCACAATATGAGAGTTCGCGGACAATCTTGATGTATAGGTATGACATGAGGAGTTCGGTTGGGTCACATTTTTTTCTCTCTCTCCTATCTGGTCACCCACTGTGCGTGTCCGCAGACGTTTGAGGAAGATTTGAGAAGACCGGCTGTAGATGCTCTAATTTTAGTTTTTTGGCCCCCTTTGTAGATATTGACATAAACGACTGAATCGATACAAAGTGACGAGGCAACCCTCATACATGTAGGTCAAAAGAAAATAAAACAACACCAAACTAGTGGCACAAGTATTACAAACCCAACACCGGGCATGAAACTAGGAGACACCACCCCTAACACACCACACCCACTACTACCGGACAAGACTGTAGGTGAGCCACCTCGAGAAACCACCGGTCACCGTAGTATCGAACACACCAAGCCATCTCCGAAAAGGGCCACCTCAAGGTTGAGGCAACCACCTCGCTCCGGGCTATGAAGCGCCACTCCTGTCAAGATATAGCAAGGACCGAGAACGAAGACCACGGGACACGTATAGGATAGGAGAACACTAAATCACTCCTTGCAAAAGTCAAGGATGCGAGCAACACACCAAGGAAAGGAAACACGATGTCGTGCGCAATCTGCAATCGAGAGAGTCCGAGGGTCCACCGTGACGCCCTCAAAAGGGTGATGGCGCCAGACGCCAACGTCGACAAGTCCAGAAGATGGACAAGGGTCTTTCATGCGAAGCCCTGGCATCGTGCAAGGACCAACAATAACGCCCTTGAGAGGGAAGCAACACCCATAGGTGCCACCGTTGTCAATGCTGGAGCACTTAGCTTTCGCTCAGACCCACATAAGAACCACCAGTGGACTCAAAGTGGTCGACCCACCCAGGAGAGGGGGACACGACCGCCCACGCAAGGCCTCCAGATCCCCACCAAGGGCCTCCATCGTCGAAGCTATGACTACACCAGGGAATCCCGCCACCCCTCCACTTGCTACCCACATAGCCAAGAGGAGGCGACACCATCGCTGCCATGCTGCCCACCGCTGAGCCAACCATGCAGATCCACAACCCAGGGCGCACCTTGGCATCCAAGACGACTGAGAACCAAGCAGCATGAAATGAATAACAACATAACAAAATTGTCGTCGTCAGGATGGACATCATTGATGTCAGTCCATGCGTAGGGAACCCAACCTAGTTCGGGGGTGTGGATCACTAAGGCCAGATGACATCATCACCGGGGTAGCCCTCGAAGACGGGCCACCAGAGCGGCGAGACCCCACGGGCTGAAATTGTTCTAGCCAATGAGGCCCGTGGCAACCTAACCTTGATCCGTGATGGCTCTAATTTTTACCACTTTTAGTAGAGGGTTTTGACTTGATTTTTTTATCTAGTTTTCATTATTTCTCGGTCATTTCAATCACTAATCGTGAGAGAGAGAGAGAACTCATTTTCCTTTGTTTGGCTCGGCAATATTTTTTTGGAAGAAATCCAATTAAGATTACATTAAATCAAGCCAAATGAAGCTTCTTCCATGTTGGGCAAAGACGAGGTCGTAGCAGGCGTGACGGCTCCCCTCATCTACAACAACAGAAGTTGCAAATGGGCAGAGCACATCAGAGGGACCAAGCCGCCGCCACACCATCCAGAACAGAGGGAGAAGAGATTCTTCTCATTTTTCTCATTTCCATTCATCACTTCATCATCGTAGGGACAGGAATTCCAAGTTGTAGGACTTGAGCTTGTAACTCTAGTTATACTCATATGGAGATTGAGACCTTTTTAATCATACATATTATTGGGGATCATCACAGTATGATCGACATGATTTCTATTGGGTCATTCTTCCTCGATGTATGAGAAATATCCCCTAGGTGTGGGAGATGTATGTGATTGGTAAGATTCATTTGTGTCTATTCCATATGTCGCTATCGTGTTTATAGTTTTATGTTTGTTTAATAACTTGTTTATCTGTGATGAGGGTAATGTTTGTTGTCTAATTTAAGGGCCCAGACAACATGATCGAAAGACCTACATAGGTAACTTGCAGGTAATGGATGAAGATATCTACGAGGATCGAGAACAATATGAGATAACGATGAACAAATGAACTTAATGCATGTTCTGGTTTAACGATCTTAATTATGGAGATGACCACGTTGTGGTGACGTCGAAGCGGGACCGTGGAGTAGAATGTAACCCCGAGTGGAGAAGTTCTACAACCTAGAGGGGATTCGCCTGGTGAACCAGCAGATAATATAATAAACTCATGATACAAGGAAACTAGTATTACCATCACACTGGTACACTTGTACACCATGATCCAAAGTATCTCCGCGTCTAATATCTCTACTCCAGGAAACCACCTTTATTTTTAGTCTTTTAAGTTATGTTTTTTTACTTTCAAGTTGTTATTATTTCAGTTGGTAAATTCAATCTTCTTCATCACTCTAGTTTATGTGTTCCAAAGAACCTTAATAGTTTCTGCAGGTTCTCAAACAATTACTTCATATGAGACATGTGACAACTCATGTGTGACCAAAACGCCACTCATAGATACTCCACTCAACTCTTTGTTGGAATAATTATTTAGTGAGATACTTACACGAAGGTGCTACACTACCACATGTGTCTTACAAGCCATCAATCTGCCACACCACCGGCCACCGAGACGCCCGCATACGCCAACTCACGAGATTGAAGCCACACCTCCATTGAAGCGGAGGACATGGAAGATCCAGCGTCAGCCCTTGCACAAGCACGCACAAGTTTGACTCTGCAACACCACCGCGAGACACGACATTGTCCGCTGCCGCCACCATCGTACGCCGCCCCGCAAGCACACTGGTCGCCGTCGACCACCGCCGAGAACTGCCTGCACCAAATCCTCCAAGCAGGATCATGCAGTTGCGACATCATTGACGCGCATCAGCACGCGAGCTGCCAGGACGCCAGCAGGAGGCGCGCCCCACGTAGCTCGGCGCCCCTGCCCGAAAGAGCCACAACAACCATCCGGGCGATGAGGTAGGAGCCCCACCACTAACCACTGCGGGAGGCTTTGCTCAAACAGCTCCGGCCGACAACGGTGACGAGGAAGA